TCAGTTTGAGCTGTGTTAGACACAACAGGCAGGAAGACCTTGAGGGTAGTTTTTTGGTAAGAACAAGCTGTGAAGTCTGAAGTTTTGTGCATAAGGAACCTAAGCTTTTCTGGTTTAATTCAAGTTTTCCTGGATGTGCAGCGGACTTTGTAGAAATAGATAAAAAGCTCCAGTGTGCAAATAGCTGGGTGTGAGGAGTCTAAGCCAGGCCAGCCAAAGCGCTTTTCTTCAGAGTGCGAAGGTTTAAGTGGCTCCTTTCATAGAGTTAACGAGAAGCATATCAAGAGTTTGGGCTGGATATCGAGCTGCTTTGGTTGTAGAAGATGTGCCCGTGCTGTGTTTGAAGCCAAAGCGGGCTGTTGAGACAGTGGTCAACAAGATGATCTTTAAGGTCCCTTCCAACCTAGAAGATTCTGTGATTCTGTATAAGCAGGACGCCTGAAAATTTCCCTTTCTTCTGGAAACATCATCTTGCCAACCTCAGATGGAACAGCATCGTTAAAACCCCTTCTTGTCAGCAGGTGATTAGATAAAATGACAGCTTTGGAAGAAATTTTGTACGTACAAGTGAGTGGTGACGTCTTTGTGAAGCCAAGTGGCGTGTGGGCTTGTGATGGTGGGATGAACTTTGAGTAGTTGGGAGGTGGTGGCTTCCTGGCCAGGCTTCCAGGCTCTTCTGGCTCAGGGAGGCTTGAAATACGTTTCCTGATTTAGCACTAGGTGGAACTGCATCTGGCACCGCTGGCGCTGTACTTTACCTACAAAAATAGAAGGGCATAATTTGCTAGAAACGTTGGATGTGGGAGTGAAGGGAGCAAAACGTCCTTGGAATTGCAGGATTTCTTCGGAGAAGGCAATTCTTGGCAGACTCAGAATTGGTTGTGACAAATAGTGGGGATGATGCAACGTGTTCCCCATTCTGTGACCTTTTTTACATCCGAGCAATATGGGATCTTCGGTGTGGCCTTTCTGGGGGTTTCTCTGTCCCCTTTCACTTCTGTGTTAATGTGATGTTTCCAAACTTGATGGAGGCTTCAGAGACTCTTCACAGGGAAAGGCAGGTGCTGCTGACTGGCTCCCAGCATTTTGAAATCTCAGGAGATCTGGCTCACAGAGCTAATTCTGTTATGGAACGTAGCTGAAAATAAAATGTCATACTCCATCAAGACAGCTATTATTGTGTGTGTTGTTGGCCACCAGACAGAAGTCTTTAAAGTTACTTTTTTCACCGAATGCCCAAGGAGCTGAGAAAATAAACCTGGAGAAAGACGACTTTATAAATCTGTCAGGTGTAACAGACTGATATAAAGGAAAAAAATATTATTACTATTTTTTAAGATGCTTTTAGCTCAGTGTTGGGAATCTTAATGTCGGACAGCAAGAATAAGATGCTGCTGTGCTCAGGGCTTAAGAGAGGAAGCAGGATTACTTCATAAGGTAATTTGAAGGGGTAGTTAACTGATGGTGCGAAGGCATCAATAAATGAGGATGATTTTTGGTTAAATAATTGGAGAGCTTCTGAGCCAATAAGGTAGTTGACATAACGTTTGCAGCAACATTTACAGCTCGACTTGCCAAGAGCAAATGTGTCTATAAGGATTTTTGGCTTAGAGAAGCTGTATTAGGTTGCTGAGTCCCTGAACTTTTGTTTCTCTCAAGGAGTGTATGACCGTGCACACAAGTTAACTGCTTTCACATATGGTGAGCTGCATAAATGCATGGAATTCTGATAATTTATTGCCAAAATTGCAGATATTTCCATAGCACGCGACTGGCAGCCTGCATTTATCCTAATTGTGTTTCCTTTTGGATGCCTGCCTGCCTTTCCTGGGAGCCCGTTCACTGTGCTCTTAGGACGGCTGCGCTGAATTTGGGAAGTGGGGATCAGAAAGGCAGTGAAGGCAAACGTGGAAGGGCTTATTTAGAATAGTTGGTGAGACCAAATCGTTGTGTATCCTGTAGTTGCAGCTTAAGGGAAGAAACCTCCCTGTTTCTGGGCGGGGGAAGCAGGGACTAATGATTTTTCCAGTGTGTTGTGCATTCTCTGCTTCCTTGACCGTAGAAGATCTCTGCTGGGTATTCAACAGACCTGCAATAACTTGGTTTATTCTGGGGCAAGCTCATGGTCTGGAGTAATAGGAGATCTCCGGGTATTCAGCAGACCTGCAATAATTTGGCTTATTCTGGGGCAAGCTCATGGTCTGGAGTAGATACGGTGTGAATTCCTACCCAGAGTTTTCTCAAACTAGACTATTTTATTTAGGGAGTTCCTTCACCGTGCTTTCCTTATTTTCAAACCCTCATCCCTTTTCTTGGCTTAGTTTTGCTAAAATCCAAACGGCTTCTTGGTTTAGTTATTTTACAGCATTTTTCCATTTACTTCTTCATACATTTCTGTACCACCTTCTCCTCCCAAAGATTTTCTGCAGAAGCTGTAAGTGGGGTGGAATCCTCTTGGTAAGTGCTCCCTCTGGAGAGAGCTTTCCCCATCCCACTTGGGGAGTTCCACACACACAGGATAGTCTTTATATGGAGCTTGTAGAACTTGCCTCAAGCAACTGCACCAGAGCAGTGACAGCAGCTAAGTTTTTCAGTCTTCATTATTGTATAAAAATGACATTATTGTGAAAGAGAAGGTGATGTACGTTAGGTTTTGAGATGTGGTGGAAGGAGGACGTAGACTCTAAGAGTTTCTATGGGGTTTCTATGTTAGTGTGTGTGGGGAAGGAATCTCTTCTTTCTCATTTATAATAAAAGAATGAGCTGAGCTTTGGAGTGGTGGTAAAGCTGTGGAAACCTTTGGTTTCCTCTTCGTGGAAGTATTAAGAGTTGGTTTCTTTCATCATCTAGTTCTGATGGAGCGAGACCAAACTCTTAGGAACAAGTTAAAAAGTGCTATAAAGTGGATGTGTTTCTGAAGAGAAAAATTGGGGTCTCTTAAGCAGTCACTTAAAAGATTTAGCTTTTTCTTGTGTTGGTTTTTTTTTTCCAGTTGCTTTTTCTGCATCGTTGGTTTGAGCCTGGCCTGGGGACAAATGCAGGTGGCTGGAGGGGTGGGAGGTGAAGGGAACTCCATGAGCCACAAAAACTCCTCACTCCCACTGGCAGGCCATTATTTTAAGATTTGAATCTGGTATCCTTGCTTAGGGTGAAATGCAAATGACTGGGCGCATGTTGGAAGTGTCCTCTAACAGAATATGTGGGAGCCAGACGTTTCCTCTTCCTATCTCTGGCTTTTAGATGCATTTAGTAGCTGACTGCATTAGTGTTGGACCGTGTAAATCTCTAACCAGCCAGACCTGTGGGATCTGTTCAACACCCAAAGATGCACCTGCAGAGATGTTGTTACCTGCCCAAGAGAATTTGGGGAACTCTGTATATTTTCTTCTTCCATTGCTCTTGTTCAGGTCTAAACAGAGACTAAATGAACTGTTGGGCAGTTTTGTCATATGCTTGGCAAGTGTCACGTTCTCCTTCACCTGTCATGATGTGTTTTGGAAATAAAGATTTTTGTTGTGTTTTTTGCTCGAGCTGTTGGTGTTAAGGATTGTAGAAAGGAGTGATCTTCATTAATTTTCTGAGATGCAGAGTTAAGTTTCTTAAAATGCTTCTGTGTGACAGCATACCTGCCCCAAAGATAACCTATAACCTTTGCATCTTCAAAACATGCAGTTTAAAAAGTTAGTGAGGGTGAGAACCCTTACAACCTACTAATAAAATTTTCTGTTTGGCCCTGTAAAGAGTTGGTGAAAAATGGGCAAAGTCTTGTATATAAAGAAATGAGAAGTTGGGTAATATTTGTAATGAAAATTCTACTGTCTGGGTTTCTCATCTTTCCACTTCCTTTCATTGGAATTCAGAGCTCAATTTTCCTTTTCCGACAGAAATCTTTTCTCAGCTTATACACTAAAACATTTGCAAATATTGGCTTATTTGACACTTTTCTGCAAATATTTAACTTCACACGTCATGTTTCTGACATGTTAGGGGTTTGTGTGCCATCCAGGCTCACTGCCATCATTTAAAATTCAAATGTCTAAGCTTTTTTTCTAAGTCAGTCCATGTTTTTCTGACGAAATTATAGGTAAGGAAATGATTTATATGAGAGTTGTATAAGTTGTCATCCTTAATCCTCGCCTAACTGGCGGACTGAAAGGTCTGTATGCTGTGAAGCCAGGCAAAAAGAATGTAGAAAGTTTGTGGAAAATGTGGAATTTTATCAGTCTTGAGCTGATAGTTTATTTTTGGACAACTGTGTTTAAAAAAAAACCAAACCAAACACTTTAAATTCCTAAACAATACCAGATACTGAAAAACTTTTTTTTGTGTTGGTAGCTAACATAATATTCTGGACTCAATTAGGCCTGCAGAAAGTACACTTTTCTAAATGACAGAAACTTGGTTTTGAGGAATTAACAGTAACTACTTAACCCATTGTACCTCCTTTGCAAAGAGAGGGGTCTGACCCTGCTGTCCCTGCCTCCTTATTACACTTGTGCAGGTGCGATGACATTTCATGTCTTGTGAAGGTGGGTGTTGAAAAAGAACATGTTTTTTTTTCTGTTAAATAAATAGTATCTTTAATTAGCGTGACAAGCTGCTTGACTGTTCAGAGCAAAGGTTTTTTCTGACTGGGCTGCTGGCCTGAATATGTGACTGTCCACATTCTGGGGAAGGAAATAGTTTTGGTCTCATCTTGCCCATGATCAAGTTTGCGAGAGGGAAGGGGATCTGAGCATTCCCAATTGTCCAGCTGGCTTAAGAGTGAGCAGCTGAGAAGGCAGGGTAGTGGAGAATCCTTTAATTATTTAAAACAGCAGGTCAAAGTACTTACTACTTTTGCATCCCAGTTTTTCTTAAATAGCCTTTTTCAACATGAAAATACGGAAGCGGGAAAAGTATTTAACGTTAATCCTGTGCTCATTGCATGACTTTTCTACTCCTTTCTTTTTCCCTCCCCTTTCCACGAGTTCTCTAACCATTTCCTCTCCCATTTGCAGTGGTAGTCGCTCTTCCAAAACCTTCAAACCAAAGAAGAATATTCCAGAGGGCTCTCACCAGTACGAGCTGCTAAAACATGCTGAAGCCACGCTTGGCAGCGGTAATCTCCGGATGGCTGTTATGCTTCCAGAGGGTGAAGACTTAAATGAATGGGTTGCAGTTAACAGTAAGTCAGATAATGTGTGTTTCTTTTTCATAAGGGGGGGGTGTTAAATGTGGGGTGACACTTGTGGGAGGACAACTGCCTGCTCCTTTTCTCGTGGGGTTGGCTTTTGTGTCCTGCTGCCGTTGGGAGAGGTGAATGTCGTGTCATCGAGAGCTGACGGATGCAGAGCGACTCACCCAGACAAAAAAAAACCTCCTTAAATCTCCCTTGGGCCAAAAATGTGTTCCTGTTAACAAAATAATTCTTAGTCTGAGGACTTGATCACAAACAAGTTCTGCGGTAGAAATGTCACTGCTGTTTTTAGAAAGTAGCCTCTCAGTGCTGTCTTAATCCATTTAATCTAGCTCTTTTTAGCTAGGGCTGTTACCCAATGGCATAGTCGAGCCTCTGCGTGCGAAGCTTAAAACCTTAATTTAGTTAGGTGTGAGGGCCAGGTCTACAAGATGTTAAGTCTGAGGTCATGTATGGCCTGAATTTCCTTTTGCCTGTAACAAAGACACAGATCTTTGCAATTTTCCTAAAGTTAGTTCCTTCCTTTTGTTTCTACCAAGTTGAGAGCCTTTGCTGCGGTAAGTCTCTGATGTCATTATTTTAACTTCCTCTAAAGCCATTTGTCCTCTCTCTCTCCTTTGGTGCTTGGTCAGGCCAAACAATGATGCCCAAATTAGTGTTTTCTGATTGCTTGACCATGTTTCCTCCTCCTTCCCCTCCCTGCTGCATGAATTTGCTGCTTGCCTTCTCCTGTTAAAGAATGGCTTACCCCACGTCCTATCATGAGGAGAGACTGAGAGAGCTGGGACTCTTTAGTCTGGAGAAGAGAAGGCTGAGGGGAGACCTTATCAATGCCTACAAGTATCTCAAGGGAGGGTTGAAAGAGGAGAGAACCAGACTTTTTTCAGTGGATCCCAGAGAGAGGAAGAGGGGCTTCGCGCACAAGTTGGTACAAATGTGGTTTTCACTTCTGTGTTAATGTGATGTTTCCAAACTTGATGGAGGCTTCAGAGACTCTTCACAGGGAAAGGCAGGTGCTGCTGACTGGCTCCCAGCATTTTGAAATCTCAGGAGATCTGGCTCACAGAGCTAATTCTGTTATGGAACGTAGCTGAAAATAAAATGTCATACTCCATCAAGACAGCTATTATTGTGTGTGTTGTTGGCCACCAGACAGAAGTCTTTAAAGTTACTTTTTTCACCGAATGCCCAAGGAGCTGAGAAAATAAACCTGGAGAAAGACGACTTTATAAATCTGTCAGGTGTAACAGACTGATATAAAGGAAAAAAATATTATTACTATTTTTTAAGATGCTTTTAGCTCAGTGTTGGGAATCTTAATGTCGGACAGCAAGAATAAGATGCTGCTGTGCTCAGGGCTTAAGAGAGGAAGCAGGATTACTTCATAAGGTAATTTGAAGGGGTAGTTAACTGATGGTGCGAAGGCATCAATAAATGAGGATGATTTTTGGTTAAATAATTGGAGAGCTTCTGAGCCAATAAGGTAGTTGACATAACGTTTGCAGCAACATTTACAGCTCGACTTGCCAAGAGCAAATGTGTCTATAAGGATTTTTGGCTTAGAGAAGCTGTATTAGGTTGCTGAGTCCCTGAACTTTTGTTTCTCTCAAGGAGTGTATGACCGTGCACACAAGTTAACTGCTTTCACATATGGTGAGCTGCATAAATGCATGGAATTCTGATAATTTATTGCCAAAATTGCAGATATTTCCATAGCACGCGACTGGCAGCCTGCATTTATCCTAATTGTGTTTCCTTTTGGATGCCTGCCTGCCTTTCCTGGGAGCCCGTTCACTGTGCTCTTAGGACGGCTGCGCTGAATTTGGGAAGTGGGGATCAGAAAGGCAGTGAAGGCAAACGTGGAAGGGCTTATTTAGAATAGTTGGTGAGACCAAATCGTTGTGTATCCTGTAGTTGCAGCTTAAGGGAAGAAACCTCCCTGTTTCTGGGCGGGGGAAGCAGGGACTAATGATTTTTCCAGTGTGTTGTGCATTCTCTGCTTCCTTGACCGTAGAAGATCTCTGCTGGGTATTCAACAGACCTGCAATAACTTGGTTTATTCTGGGGCAAGCTCATGGTCTGGAGTAGATACGGTGTGAATTCCTACCCAGAGTTTTCTCAAACTAGACTATTTTATTTAGGGAGTTCCTTCACCGTGCTTTCCTTATTTTCAAACCCTCATCCCTTTTCTTGGCTTAGTTTTGCTAAAATCCAAACGGCTTCTTGGTTTAGTTATTTCACAGCATTTTTCCATTTACTTCTTCATATATTTCTGCACCACCTTCTCTTCCCAAAGATTTTCTGCAGAAGCTGTAAGTGGGGTGGAATCCTCTTGGTAAGTGCTCCCTCTGGAGAGGGCTTTCCCCATCCCACTCGGGGAGTTCCACTCACCCAGAATAGTCTTTATATGGAGCTTGTAGATCTTGCCTCAAGCAACTGCACCAGAGCAGTGACAGCAGCTAAGTTTTTCAGTCTTCATTATTGTATAAAAATGACATTATTGTGAAAGAGAAGGTGATGTACGTTAGGTTTTGAGATGTGGTGGAAGGAGGACGTAGACTCTAAGAGTTTCTATGGGGTTTCTATGTTAGTGTGTGTGGGGAAGCATGGTGGAAGGAGGACATAGACTTTAGGAGTTGGGGTTTCTATGTTAGTGTGTGTGGGGAAGGAATCTCTTCTTTCTCATTTATAATAAAAGAATGAGCTGAGCTTTGGAGTGGTGGTAAAGCTGTGGAAACCTTTGGTTTCCTCTTCGTGGAAGTATTAAGAGTTGGTTTCTTTCATCATCTAGTTCTGATGGAGCGAGACCAAACTCTTAGGAACAAGTTAAAAAGTGCTATAAAGTGGATGTGTTTCTGAAGAGAAAAATTGGGGTCTCTTAAGCAGTCACTTAAAAGATTTAGCTTTTTCTTGTGTTGGTTTTTTTTTTCCAGTTGCTTTTTCTGCATCGTTGGTTTGAGCCTGGCCTGGGGACAAATGCAGGTGGCTGGAGGGGTGGGAGGTGAAGGGAACTCCATGAGCCACAAAAACTCCTCACTCCCACTGGCAGGCCATTATTTTAAGATTTGAATCTGGTATCCTTGCTTAGGGTGAAATGCAAATGACTGGGCGCATGTTGGAAGTGTCCTCTAACAGAATATGTGGGAGCCAGACGTTTCCTCTTCCTATCTCTGGCTTTTAGCTGCATTTAGTAGCTGACTGCATTAGTGTTGGACCGTGTAAATCTCTAACCAGCCAGACCTGTGGGATCTGTTCAACACCCAAAGATGCACCTGCAGAGATGTTGTTACCTGCCCAAGAGAATTTGGGGAACTCTGTATATTTTCTTCTTCCATTGCTCTTGTTCAGGTCTAAACAGAGACTAAATGAACTGTTGGGCAGTTTTGTCATATGCTTGGCAAGTGTCACGTTCTCCTTCACCTGTCATGATGTGTTTTGGAAATAAAGATTTTTGTTGTGTTTTTTGCTCGAGCTGTTGGTGTTAAGGATTGTAGAAAGGAGTGATCTTCATTAATTTTCTGAGATGCAGAGTTAAGTTTCTTAAAATGCTTCTGTGTGACAGCATACCTGCCCCAAAGATAACCTATAACCTTTGCATCTTCAAAACATGCAGTTTAAAAAGTTAGTGAGCCGTGGAGAACCCTTACAACCTACTAATAAAATTTTCTGTTTGGCCCTGTAAAGAGTTGGTGAAAAATGGGCAAAGTCTTGTATATAAAGAAATGAGAAGTTGGGTAATATTTGTAATGAAAATTCTACTGTCTGGGTTTCTCATCTTTCCACTTCCTTTCATTGGAATTCAGAGCTCAATTTTCCTTTTCCGACAGAAATCTTTTCTCAGCTTATACACTAAAACATTTGCAAATATTGGCTTATTTGACACTTTTCTGCAAATATTTAACTTCACACGTCATGTTTCTGACATGTTAGGGGTTTGTGTGCCATCCAGGCTCACTGCCATCATTTAAAATTCAAATGTCTAAGCTTTTTTTCTAAGTCAGTCCATGTTTTTCTGACGAAATTATAGGTAAGGAAATGATTTATATGAGAGTTGTATAAGTTGTCATCCTTAATCCTCGCCTAACTGGCGGACTGAAAGGTCTGTATGCTGTGAAGCCAGGCAAAAAGAATGTAGAAAGTTTGTGGAAAATGTGGAATTTTATCAGTCTTGAGCTGATAGTTTATTTTTGGACAACTGTGTTTAAAAAAAAACCAAACCAAACACTTTAAATTCCTAAACAATACCAGATACTGAAAAACTTTTTTTTGTGTTGGTAGCTAACATAATATTCTGGACTCAATTAGGCCTGCAGAAAGTACACTTTTCTAAATGACAGAAACTTGGTTTTGAGGAATTAACAGTAACTACTTAACCCATTGTACCTCCTTTGCAAAGAGAGGGGTCTGACCCTGCTGTCCCTGCCTCCTTATTACACTTGTGCAGGTGCGATGACATTTCATGTCTTGTGAAGGTGGGTGTTGAAAAAGAACATGTTTTTTTTTCTGTTAAATAAATAGTATCTTTAATTAGCGTGACAAGCTGCTTGACTGTTCAGAGCAAAGGTTTTTTCTGACTGGGCTGCTGGCCTGAATATGTGACTGTCCACATTCTGGGGAAGGAAATAGTTTTGGTCTCATCTTGCCCATGATCAAGTTTGCGAGAGGGAAGGGGATCTGAGCATTCCCAATTGTCCAGCTGGCTTAGGAGTGAGCAGCTGAGAAGGCAGGGTAGTGGAGAATCCTTCAATTGTTTAAAACAACAGGTCAAAGTACTTACTACTTTTGCATCCCAGTTTTTCTTAAATAGCCTTTTTCAACATGAAAATACGGAAGCGGGAAAAGTATTTAACGTTAATCCTGTGCTCATTGCATGACTTTTCTACTCCTTTCTTTTTCCCTCCCCTTTCCACGAGTTCTCTAACCATTTCCTCTCCCATTTGCAGTGGTAGTCGCTCTTCCAAAACCTTCAAACCAAAGAAGAATATTCCAGAGGGCTCTCACCAGTACGAGCTGCTAAAACATGCTGAAGCCACGCTTGGCAGCGGTAATCTCCGGATGGCTGTTATGCTTCCAGAGGGTGAAGACTTAAATGAATGGGTTGCAGTTAACAGTAAGTCAGATAATGTGTGTTTTTTTTTCCTAAGGGGGGGTGTTAAATGTGGGGTGACACTTGTGGGAGGACAACTGCCTGCTCCTTTTCTCGTGGGGTTGGCTTTTGTGTCCTGCTGCCGTTGGGAGAGGTGAATGTCGTGTCATCGAGAGCTGACGGATGCAGAGCGACTCACCCAGACAAAAAAAAACCTCCTTAAATCTCCCTTGGGCCAAAAATGTGTTCCTGTTAACAAAATAATTCTTAGTCTGAGGACTTGATCACAAACAAGTTCTGCGGTAGAAATGTCACTGCTGTTTTTAGAAAGTAGCCTCTCAGTGCTGTCTTAATCCATTTAATCTAGCTCTTTTTAGCTAGGGCTGTTACCCAATGGCATAGTCGAGCCTCTGCGTGCGAAGCTTAAAACCTTAATTTAGTTAGGTGTGAGGGCCAGGTCTACAAGATGTTAAGTCTGAGGTCATGTATGGCCTGGATTTCCTTTTGCCTGTAACAAACACACAGATAGATCTTTGCAATTTTCCTAAAGTTAGTTCCTTCCTTTTGTTTCTACCAAATTGAGAGCCTTTGCTGCGAATTTCCTTTTGCCTGTAACAAAGACACAGATCTTTGCAATTTTCCTAAAGTTAGTTCCGATTTCCTTTTGCCTGTAACAAACACACAGATAGATCTTTGCAATTTTCCTAAAGTTAGTTCCTTCCTTTTGTTTCTACCAAATTGAGAGCCTTTGCTGCGGTAAGTCTCTGATGTCATTATTTTAACTTCCTCTAAAGCCATTTGTCCTCTCTCTCTCCTTTGGTGCTTGGTCAGGCCAAACAATGATGCCCAAATTAGTGTTTTCTGATTGCTTGACCATGTTTCCTCCTCCTTCCCCTCCCTGCTGCATGAATTTGCTGCTTGCCTTCTCCTGTTAAAGAATGGCTTACCCCACGTCCTATCATGAGGAGAGACTGAGAGAGCTGGGACTCTTTAGTCTGGAGAAGAGAAGGCTGAGGGGAGACCTTATCAATGCCTACAAGTATCTCAAGGGAGGGGTGAAAGAGGAGGGAACCAGACTCTTTTCAGTGGTTCCCAGTGAGAGGACGAGGGGCAACGGGCACAAGTTGGAACATAAGAGGTTCCACTCAAATATGAGGAGAAACTTCTTCACGGTGAGGGTGACAGAGCCCTGGAACAGGCTGCCCAGGGAGGGTGTGGAGTCCCCTTCCTTGGAGATTTTCAAGCCCCACCTGGCTGCTCCTGAGTAACATGCTCTAGCTCTAGGCAATCCTGCTTCAGCAGGGGAGTTGGACTAGATGATCTCTATGGTCCCTTCCAACTCTAAAATTCAGTGAAATTCAGTGAAATCATGCTCCATAGCCCATGCAGGGTTTTGGCCGCCGCAAACTCTTTAGCCCATCTGGGTATTTCCTCATCTTCTGTCCCTTTGGCTCAGGGTGCTTCTGTTTGAGCACTGCAGTGCAGTGTTAGTTAGCACAAGATAAATGACTTCTAACTGTTTACGTGGTTCTCGCTTTCTTCTTGCTCTTTGACATGTTTGGGAAGCGAAACTGTCCTACTGACTTCAACCTTCCTGTTGTTAATTAGCTCTGGAATATGATTTGCCACTGCTTCCAGGGCATGTTGAAATTGCTGACACCATCCTTTAGTCACGCCGGATTGCAAAAGTGTCTAGAGAAGAAGCCAGCCCATTTTTATGAGTAAGCATTACTAAAGATGCTTCACTTACTGCTGGCACCCTTCCCTTTTGGTGCTTCCTCCGCCTTCTTGCCTGTGTGGCAGCGGTGTTCTTCCCCTCCCAAATGGCTTAACTGCTTAATTAGCTGTGTGGCAAAAGGCACACAAGCGCTTGACAAAGGAGTGGGAGCTGCCTTTTGGTACCAGCTGTGTTCCGTAATGAAATGGTCCTTTTTCATGCCTCCTGCACCAAAGTGGGGGTTTAATGTTTGTTTTTTTCTGCGTGTGTCTAGAAGTGATTAACTGATTAGGTGCTCCCTTCATTACAGCATCCCTCTCCCACACCTAGTACTGGTTAATGGGAGCTGGGAGCCCATTCTGTAGATTGAGATAATCTAATAAGGAGATAAAATATGCGACTTCATGTCATTGGTGTTGCCCTTCATGGTAGCGAGAGCACAGGAACAAATGTCCCTGCTTGGCTACTTCTCACTCAGCTCTTAGCCTCACTGATGTCTCATGGTGATGAGTTGTAGATTTTTCAAATAAAAAAACCCAGAAGGTGGGAAGTGTACGATCAGTTTGGTTTGAGTTTCATTTGAAAATATTAAAAAAAAATAAAACAAAACAGAAGGTGGGAAGTGTACGATCAGTTCGGTTGGAGTTTCATTTGAAAATATTAAAAAAAAATAATTCAGAGCTACATCTTGCCCCTGTCTTTAACAGAACACCAGAGAGTGTGCACTTTGAGGAGAACAGCACTTGGAAAAAACTAAATTAAGCCCTCTAAACTTCAGAACAATGAGTAAAAAAGAGGAAATGGAAATAGGCAGTGACACTGCTCGGCTTTACACGTGTTGGAAGGGAGGTTGTTGTGTTTTCCTTGTTGGCTGGGTGCTGCTGGTGGAGGTGATTGGGTCCTGTGTCTCAGGCCCTTCTGAGACTTGCAAGTGTGGGGTTCCCCATAATCACTCAGCTCCTCGAAGCTGGGGTGGGATGTTTGAACACGCTTGCCTTGAAGCAAACGCTGGGCTGTGGTTTCTGCTGGGAGCAGGGAATGGAAACTTAATTAGCAGTTCTTGTGCACATTTGAAAAACAAGGGCTGTATATAACCATTTCTTGCTGCCTTCAGTGTTAACTGCCTCCTCCCCCTGCCCAAACAAGCTTTAGGGTCCTCCTTGTCCTCTGTAACTTTTATCAGCCTTTCTCAATGTTGTTTTGCTGTTTCCTGCTGTGCAGAGGGGAAAAAAAAATTGGTTTTATTGCTGGAGATGAGCTGTGATAGGTGCATGCCATACTGTTGGTTTTTTTAAATTATTATTATTAATTGCTTCCCTTTTTTGATAGCTGGGAAGTTGTGTGATACATTTGTAACTTGTACCCTGCATCTGCTAACCAGTAGCTGTAACTTGCTGCCCTGATGTTGGTGTAATCTTTGATTATTCTCTGGAAAAATCAGTGGGGGGAGCTGCAGTATTTAACCCTCCCTTTCCTTCAGCTCTCAGCTACTTTCTCAGTAGGTGGTATCTGCTAGTGCTTGCATTTGGGATGTTTTTACAGCAAAACTGTCTATGTCTGTAATAGAGCTAAGCGAGGAACACAAATTTGGGGAGGGTACCTGGTAATGTGATGGCTTCTCTTTGGCATGATACCAGACTGAGAGGAGCGTGGTGTTGGTGTCACACAGAGAAGCTGTGGCTGCCCCATCCCTGGAGGGGTTCAAGGGCAGGTTGGAGGGGGCTTGGAGCAACCTGGGCTGGTGGGAGGTGTCCCTGCCCAGGGCAGGGGGTGGCACTGGGGGGGCTTTAAGGTCCCCTTCCACCCAAACTGTTCTATGATTCTATGAAATGTTCTTTGAAGAGATAGGCTTTTGGAATACAAAGCCTGAGGGTTCCACTGTCAGCTAATGGGTAACAGTTCTCTCTAGTTGGAAAGTTGAAAATATTTGTTCTGTTCCAGGCTTGCCAATAGAATGTGGGATTCTAATAAAAGGCACCAAACTTTGAGAAAAGGAAGTAACTCCGCTTTCTCTTTCCCTTTTGTTCTTTCAAATGAAGATTTTGCTGCAGGAACAATGAAATCGTTCTTGCCAGAGGCTGTGTCAGAAAGTTGGTGGTTACATTCTGCATCTCCTTTATAACACATCTTAAATAGCAGTAACTGTAAGATTATTTTTTTTTCTCCACAAATAATACTCCAGCACCCTCTTCAGCAGTGTGTGTTTTATATTTAAGGCTGTAGGAAGCTCACGTTGCTGTTACGTTGTTAATTGCTGGTTTAAATGTTTTACAGCTGTTGACTTCTTCAACCAGATCAATATGCTTTATGGGACCATTACGGACTTCTGCACGGAGGAGAGCTGCCCCGTGATGTCTGCTGGCCCAAAGTAAGGATATGTTTAACACGTTTTCTTGAGATTTGTGCAATTTTTGAGATGATTTTGCAGTTGAAAACTTGAGACTAGCTCAGTTGAGGGCCAAAAAGAAGGTCTCTTCTGTGGGTGGAAAGGATGTCTTATCTTCTTACCTGTGGGGGGGTGGAAATTTGAGCCTTAGTTAAGAGAATGGGGAGGAGAAAAGTGGGTTTTGGAGATTTTTTTGGTTTTGCTTTTCATTCTCTTTAGCTTGGGAAGTAAACTGACTGTCAAAACTGTTTTTTCCTTTTTTTAAAATGTTAATGAGTGCTTCTTAAATTTAGATTTGAAGTTTTTATATGCTAGTGTTCATTTAGGGCTTACCAAAATCTTCCTTTCAGGCCTTTTCAGTAGGTATTACGGAAATAAACAGGGCTACAGTTTTGAGTAGTCTGAGTAAGAATCCCCTACCCCTCCCTCAGTTGAGTTTCACTTCTTTGATTCTCCCTTACACTTTTGTTCAGATGTTCCATGTTTGTGGTGTTGCTCGCTCTCCAGCTGTTTAGTGTGCTCTAAAGAGGAAAATACCTGCATTTCTAAGCCAGTGGTGAAGGAGGGCACTGTTTCCTTTTAAATTACTGAAAAATCTTAAATAAACGATAAAGAAAAACAGCCCTCTCCTCCACTTCCTCCTTTTTTCACACTGACGTTTGTGGTTATTGTGTGAAGCAGCGATTGCAGGTGCTGTGGTGGGGAGCTGAGGAGAGGGCAGGAGCTTGGCGAGGTGAAACCAGCCAAGCCACCCAAGAAAAGCTTTAGCTCTGCTTTTTTAAACTAAAAAGGGACATTGCTGAATGCCCAAACTAGTGTTCTCCCCTGCAGAGCGGGGAGAAGGGGGGGAATACAAAAGGAATCACAAGTTTACCATTATGCAAAAGGACTTTAGGATAAGCTCATGCAATAACATGGCTCATTGTCTGTGCTTGGGCATGCAGAACAGACTCTTATTTATTAAAAATAGTTCTTTGCTTTATTGTTTGCCTGCTGAGAAGCAGTTATTTGGGGGTGGAGGTTAATTATTAAAGGTTTAGCTGCCTGGTTGCCAGAGTAAACAATTTATTTCTCTCCAAAGAGACCGATAACCGTTGATAGAAATGTAAGTCGTGCTCAAATAGTGATGCGTTGGGGTGGAAAAGAGATGCTAGAAGGTGTGTTCTGCCAAGGTTTTAATTAGGTGATCTTGTCCCTAGGATGCTAGAGCTCTCCCCAAACTCTGCAGCCCCCAGGTGTGCTCAGGGATGGGTTTTGTGAAAGGATGGGAAGCGTGTGTGTGAGGGGCCAAGAGGTGATTTGTGAGGCTGGCGGTGCCTGGAAGCAGAACATATGTTTTTTTTAGTTTGAGTGAGCATGGCTTTCTTTCACTTAAAAGTCTGGTGCTAGTGTTTTGTCTTTAAAAACCCTTTAAAATAAAATGAAAAAAAAGACCCTTGGCACCAAGCAGCTCACCTAGGTTTGTGTCTGGGGTTTTTTGTGTTTTATTTTTGATATTGGAGGGTTATCTTCTCTAAAGGACTACCCTCAAGCAGATGTTTGGGGCTGTACGGCTGCTTCTCCAGCCCATGGGTTCTTTTTGGTAGTGGTCTTAACCAGAGGCAGGTAAATTTTTGTCTGCTGTGGGGTCCCTTTCATTTATTTTGGCTTTGTCTTTGTTGGAAGACCTGCTGACTTAGCTTGTAGCAGGGTGTTAGTGCATTGAGTTCATTAAGGATTGGTGTAAAATTCAAGAACAGATCTCCCTCTCCTGCTGCACAGCTCACTCTCTTGACGGAAGTATCGGTTTAATCTGTTCCAAAACATGTGATTACTTGGAAGTATCAATCTGATGGTTTAATCTGTTCCAAAACATGTGATTACTCACAGTAACATCCCATTCTTTTCACTTCAGCAACGACCAACCGTTTCTTACCCAAACCAACCCTCCTTGGGTATCACTTGCTGTTCTTGTATCAGTTGCAGCATCACCATCAGTGCACCAGGCAAGATAATAAATTAAGAACCTGCATAAAAGCAATACATTTATTCACCAGCATTTTTTTAAAGCTGGGTGTCTGAACTGGGGCTGTAAAATCCATATTTGGGCATTTGGGTGAGCATACACATAATGGCAGTGAGATTCTGCTGATTTTCCTGAGGTTTATTGGTCCGTGGTTCTTCTCTCTTCATGTGTTCAAATCACAATAGCCGGGTGTTCCAGAGAGGAGAGCTCCCATAAATCCTGTGTGGGTGTAACACAGGGTAATTGAATGTTCACGTGCTGCCTTCTGCAGAAAACAAAAAAAATATATATAATCCTGTAATCAGGTCCTTGAAATACCCTCTGTCTCTTAGCAATATCAATCCTTTTGCCTTTTTGTGACGCTCCACTCTGTGCCCGTCATCACTTGATGACAAAACAGAATAAGTATTTTTCAGTTGTCTTGATGGAGTACAATTTTGCTGAGATTGAGAGATGATAGGTCCAAATAAAAGTCCAAGAATCCTTTAAAAGGCATTACTGAGCCACGGCATTCTATTGCTCTTGGACAGGGTACTGGCTTTAATGGTACTCAAGCTGGTGCCTTGGGGTTTCTTTGTTTGTTGTGGGGTTTTTCTTCCCCTTTTAGGTCATGTACATGTAATTGCACAGTAGAGGAGCTGGTCCTAACACTGTTTCTACTTAGGGATCTTTTCTAGTGTGAAAAGCATAGTTGGGTTTTCTGTTTAGAGGTGGCAAATAACTTGTTTATTAATGTGAGTGATTTCTAGCGGGGTCGTTAGGGATTCTTAGCTTTTCCCCTGCACTTGCTGAAGTTAACTGTGGATTTCCTGCTCTGTCCTTCATCTATTGTTTTGCCCTTAAACCTCTTCTAAACTGTTGAGGTTTCTGAAAATGTATTTTTCCTTAGAGGAATAAGGTTTATTTGTTTCTATCAGCAGAGCTGGGGGTGTTTGCTCACAGGCTTGGGTTAGAAATGTGATTTTCCTTCTGCGTTTCGCTTTTCTTTTTTCTGTTTAAGAAGCTGGGAGAGGATTCTTGATTTGTTTTCAGTGATGTATTTAATCTTGCAGGAAGAGTTCATTTTCTCCTCCCTTGTAAACCCCAAGCCTTTTGACAGCCCAGGAACAACCGTGAATGTTATGCCAAGTGCATGGAGCATGGGCTGTTTGCCACAATACTTCCAGATTCTTTAGATGACTTTATTTTTGTCAGGATATACCTGGTGTTTTTTAAGAGCTGTGTTACTTAAAGGGTCATTCTATGGCATTCCTTCCTCTAAAAAACGCAGAATTAACCCGTAGTGTTGGGGGGTGGGGAGGGAGGGAGGCTTCTCATGCATATGTGTTATTTGGAGGAGATTTTTTAGCATTTAATTGAGTTTGTTGTTTTACTCTGTCTCCAGACTGAACCTGGCACCTCAACTAAGTGCTGATGTTTTTCTTATGTTAACACCACTTCAATCTTGGTATTAGGGTAATACTGGGTGGTGAGAAATACTGCTTTTTCAGAGATTTGAACACATTTTGGTCCATTCAGCATGTATGGAATTTTTGCATGGGCTTTGAGATAAGATTTTAAGATGCTTTCGGACCCTCTGATTTGTTGCCTTTATAAAAATGGGATCTTTTCATACCATTGTGAGCAGCGTCCTCCTGGTCACTTGTAAAACTTGTTTATTGGGAAAATGTTCTCCCAGTTGCTGCTCTGAGAAAACTAAATTTGTTAAACAAAATTAGAAGCCAGATTTATCAGATACAGTTTAGCTTTGCATAAATGATTTGTATGATCTTTAAAATAGAAGATCCTCTCCAGTGTCTGCACAATACCACCTGGAGATAGGAAGGGAAAGTTTAAACAGTGGTGGCTGCAAGCCCAAACACTGTGGTGTGTACTACAAAAATAACAATCAAATTGTGCACACTATTGTCCATGAAAAGAAGAAATATTAACCATTAATAACACCTCTTTAATTCTTTTAAAAAGAACTGAGCTACAACTTGTAGATGAAGTGGGTATGCTTCCTGCAAAAGCCTGACTGAGCTGACATCACTGTCCTTGTATGATTTGATTTGTGTGGTTGGGTTTTTTTTAAATTTTATGTTTTTAAAAGAGGAGTGTTGCAGCCAGTCTGAATCATTTGTTTCTCTGGGAGGGTTTCAGAGCTCAGCAGACCTTTTTGCTTCTGGCTGGGCAGCAGGCTTGCCCCACGGGTATCTCTTCCATTCTGATTTCATGAGGACTTGATGCTGTCTGGTTGTGCTTGTAAACGGATGCTGTTCAATACAGTTTTCAGTGCCTTTTTTCAATTCTTGAAGTTAAAATGACAGCTGTAAAATGATGCTGGAATCTACTCATTTAATGTGCTACATAAAAGTTGTCAATGTTACTAGCTCTGTGGATGGAAAAGCATGCAGAGAGCACACATTTTGCTGTTCCATAGTCACGTAAAGGTGTGATATCACCTTATCTACAGATGGAAAAATTAAGGTAGAACACAGTTACTGGCCTGCAGCTGTCATGGGGGTCAGTGGTCACAGAAACTGCGATTTTTCTGCATCCTGGCACTGGACCTTCAGATATGAACCTTTTCTAAGGAGGACTGTTTAATCCAGGAGCTTTTTTCTAACTGTTAGCTGAAAGGTGCTTTATACCTGCTTCCAGTTTTGTGATAGTACTTCTTGGTGGTAACCTACCTCTGAATCTATCCCTTGTCCCTAATACGATTGTAATTTGGGATCTCTGGTTGGTCTTCAGGTATGCAAAATCTGTAAGGATATTTTTCAAATGTAAAGAAACTCCATCGTTGTTAGGGGTCCAATGTGTCCGGCTGGTGGCTGTGGCAGATGTTGATCCACACTCCTATTTGAGCCCTGGAGCTTAGTTTTTATTTGGGGGAGAATCTCATCTAACTTTCTGATGTTTCACTTCAACTGTCTGTGATGTTTTTCCTTTTGAAAGAGGAGGGAAAAAAAAGCATTAAGAACAAGAAGCTATTGGGCTTTCAAGGTTGAGACACCTGCTCATGCAGCACCTTTTGATGTGCTGGGAGGTGGGTTTGACCGCAGGCTGCCACGTATGTTTTGGCAACCAAAGATGAATGAGTTGTGCTATAATGAAGATTTTGGAAGGTCTTCACGGGGTGCAGAAGAGAGCTGGGTGAGAGCAGGATCGCAGCAGGGAGAATGGGTGGAGAGCAGATGCCTTGGGAGAGTTTGGACCTTGGTCTCAAGGAAGGGCTGTGGGAGGGTGTGGGAGTAGTGGGAGCAGAGCAGGAAGAGCAGCCTTCCAGGCCTTGATATGAATGATTCACTTGTCTTAATTAAGAAATGTCTTGTTGTTGTCGTCCCAACCCAGATATGAGTACCACTGGGCAGATGGGACAAACATAAAGAAACCAATTAAGTGCTCTGCACCAAAGTACATTGATTACCTGATGACTTGGGTCCAGGATCAGCTGGATGATGAAACGCTATTTCCTTCTAAAATAGGTAAAGTAAACAAGTAAAATTGAACAATGTATTTGGGTTACAGTTGTACAGGAATATTCATGTCTTACAGCATTAAAAGGTCTCCTGAATGACTGACTGGAGTAGGGCAAATTGAAAAGGTTACATTATATGTGTAAAGGCACTTTTATCTCTTAAGATAGAGTTTATGTGGTAGTACATGAACTCTGCTCCAGGTGTCAATGCTCCTCATAAATATCTGTCACCATTTTGAGTGTAGGAAGTGCTGTTTCTATTTAATAACTGACTGTGTTGATTAAATCTGATGATGGTTTTTTTTTTTTTTCATTTTGAACAGTGGGTTGTTTCCTTAAAAATAAGGGTCTCAAAACCTTTTAACCAGTAATTGGTACAAACTGGCAGCTTTTTGATGCAGGAAAGATCCTTGATCCTCATGAGGGACTTCATCTAGGCCTTACCTCCAAAGAAGCCGAATTAATGATATTTCTTTTTTTCCTTGTCAAGCGAACGTGAAAGATGTAGGTTTTTAAGAGGTTTCTTTCAGAGAAGCAGGAGGAAAATAATAACAACCACTAGTTCAGAAACAATAACAAAAAGAAAACCCACCTTCTAGAGGCACGAAGGACTATTTGTTCTAAAGCTCCTAATTGGCAGTTTTCCAGTACCCTGCTACTTACAGGCTTAGGATCCCTTGTGGAAAAAGGAAGGGAGATCTCTTAATGGCTTTTAGTTTGTGAATAGTTTCTAAAGCATTTGACACATTTGCAATAAGCCTCTTCAGAGACACAGGGCCACCTGTCAGAATCAAGTGGCATTTGATTTTACTTGCAGTTAAGCAGATATGCAGAGAAGGCTGGTTAGTTTGGGAAAAAGTGAGAAAAACCTAAATCTTCCCAGCTCAATAGTGTGGTATTTTCACAGACCATGGTGTTTGTTTTAGTGTTTCAGGGTAGGATTCAGAGCTGGGGAAAAAGTCCACTACTAAGAAGAATGATACTAAATAGTTACGGTTAATATTGAAGTTGTGTTCAAAAGATTCCATCAGGACTTGATCTTTCTTTACCTGCAGCATATACTTTGCTGAAGAGTTTGGGGTTTTTTTTCTTTTAAATAGGGTATATTTTTGAAAGCTAGTGTTTTAGAAAGAGCCTTAAAGGCCACAATAGATGACCAACTAAATAACAGCTTTTCACGTGGTGCAGCAGCCCAGGAAGGAAGCGTGATGTCCATCTAAGCAGGGCAAGCTGAAGTAGGAGCATGAAGATTTTATGACTGGGGTTTTAAGGCATTGGTGAGGTCATGATTGGCCTCCAGCATCCAGCCTGGGCCTGAGGCCTTCAGACAGCTCTTCAGTGATTCAAAAAAGGCTGCAAAAGAACTCAGCTGACTGGGCAAACTGCTAGGTGATGAGAAGCTAAACAGGTTTAATCTTTTGAGATGGTTGATGCCTATCTTTTTTTAGCCTGCGGATGCATCGACTAAAGCGATTATCACTCCCAGTAGCCGGTTGCTCTTTCCTAACCAATTTAAATAAAACTAAGGGATGGTGATGAGCAGGATGATTTCTCTTGAGCCAAGAGAAGCATAAAACTCAATGGCTGACACCAGAGGTAGTTTCGGTTTTCAGTTCCCTACACAAAGGTGTAAAAAGGTGTCCCTTGGAGTACCCAGGGAGGTTCTGAGAGCATCTGTAAGCGGATTAGATCCCTGTGTTTGGGTATCTGAATCCTACCAGAAGGGAAGAGGTTCTTCAGGGAACTATACTGAAGCATAACAAGACTTAGCAGCTGGAAGCTGTAGCTGGGAGGGTTCAGCATAGAAATAAATGTGGTCAGATTTGTCTTGGAAAAAGTTGAGGAGGCACTGGTCTGCTGAAGGACAGGAAACCTCCCCTCCAGTCTCTTAATGAGCTTGTCACTGTGCTTCAGCCTTAAGTACCTTGTGTGATTTATAGACGGAATTGCTGGGTGAAACCCTTCTTGTGCAAGAGAGAGGTTTGGGTTAGAATGCCTTTCAAAATACACAAACACGACATGGGAGTTTAAAAATAAACCCTCTCTTTTCTTACTTCTAGGTGTACCCTTCCCAAAGAATTTCATGTCAGTGGCAAAGACAATTTTAAAGCGTCTCTTCAGAGTTTACGCTCACATTTATCACCAGCACTTTGATCCAGTGATCCAGCTGCAGGAAGAGGCACACCTTAACACTTCTTTCAAGCACTTTATATTTTTTGTTCAGGTAAGTGTGGCAGCAGTGTTGTGGTTACAGTTATAGTCTGGAAAAAGCACTGCTGCAGTGATGGACCTTCAGTTTCTTTACAGCTGGTTTGTGTGTAGGAAAGTCAACACCTCCAGGACCCTAAGATAGTGTGTACTTCATTTGTATATATATTTATTGCTAGAAGCATTCAAGAAATGGAAAAACTTTCAAAAAGTATGAATTTGCTACAAAATTGAATATTGAAAAGTGTTCCAAACTAATTCAATAGAACATTAATTTCTAACTAAAGAAAGAGGGGGGATGGCACCTGAAGCTCGATTGGAAAGAGTGGTCTTGCTTCAAAGCTACATCCCTCCTTCTCCTTATTAAAAAAAAAAAAAAAAGCATCTTATGTTTCATTCCTTTAAGTGGGAGGAGAAAAAAGCTGTAGGCAGTTGAATGCTACTGTTGAGATAACAGCAATGGCAGAAAACGCCGTAGTCACTGAGCCTGGACTCCAATAACTTCTGTCTGAATCGGGCTTCTCACCTGAGCTGCGTGTCTAAAACTCTCTGTCTGTCTCTCTCCTCATCCCTGTTACAGGAATTCAACCTTATTGATAGAAGAGAACTTGCACCACTTCAGGAACTGATTGAAAAACTCACCTCTAAGGACAGATAAAAGGAAGAGGATTTCTTGAAAAATCCCTTGTTTCTTTAAGCGAGCGTGTGGTATTTTTTTGTTCGTTTGTTTTTTTTTTTTAAAAAACAACACAAAACCCTGTGCTGTTACTAATGACGGCCAAGATCTACTTTCTGTGCTTTTCTTAGGGGAAATCTTTTCTCTGTTAGTGACACGTGGTAAATAGCTTTGGTTTGGTTTATTTTTTTTTTTTTTCCTCCCCCGATTGTTGTTAATTCATTGTGGAATTTTAGCAGGTGCTGAGTGTTTATAAAGGAAACATGCTTGGGTGGGGGATTGACTCTGCTGGTGGATGGGTTCTTGTGTTGTGGCAGTGGTTGCCCGTTCTCACGAAAGTCCCTAAAAGACTTGCTTATTTTCCTCTAAGTGCCTTGGCAGACTCACTTCTGAGGTGCAAAGCACATACAATACTCAACATTGCTGGAAACAGAAAATACAAACTAACACCCAGGACACTTACTGATACTTCTTTTAGAAAAAGAAATATATATATATGCTTACACTAAAAAAAAAAAAGCCATAACTTACTGAAATCAATGATCTCCAGCTTTTAATACAAATATTTGTCTTATTTTTTTAGAGATTAATATAGAATTTTTCAAAACTAGGTATTTCTTAGAAAGAAAAACGATGGTGAAGTTCTGGTTGCTAAAGTGAAAGGATGAGGGTGGTTGTCAAATCACAAAGATCCTGTGTTGATTAAGTAGTGACATGTCTATTACTGTAGGTTTTGGCTTTTTATAGTTGCTTTTATTTTTTTAAACAGGAAAAGTGTCAACTTGGCTCAGTCACTTTGCTTAAGTTTCCTAGCATTTGCCAAATGAATGGTTAGTTTGCACATACAGAGTTAGGGAAAATATTCCATATAGAAAATGCACTGGGGTAATACTAAGAAAAATCTAGCTTGAAAAATAACTAGTGAAATGATTGTGAGTTAGGAATAAAAAAGCCTGGCCCTGTGGAAGGAGCTCTGGTGGCCCCGTGGAAGGAAATGTATCTTGGAGGGAATATAATTTCATGGACCACTTTGGATTTAGGTTGGCGGGATGATGTTCTGCCCCATATAAAATTGCAGCCCATCCCCGAGGAACTGCAGCAGCTGGGAAAAGAAATAAGGAATTTGTAGGGGTTTGTCTCACTAGTTGCCCAACACAGTAGACCAGGGGTTAATGCTGCTGGGCTTTGCTAGATTGTGATGCTGCAAAACCACCATTTTTAGGCCTGAATAACATTAAAGACCTGAAGTGCCTGCTGGGCGCTCGGCTGGCTCTGGAACCCCGAAAATTTACGGGGGAAGCCAAGCGACAGAAATGGCACACTTATATTTTGTGCACCACTGCTTGGCTGAAAATGCTGAGTAAAGTGGAAAACACTGTGCAGCAGCCTGTGAAATACATAAGTGGCCATTAGTAGAGCAGCTAATAAACATCTAAGCACAGTAATAAACTTAGAGTCATTTGGGAGACCGGAATCACTGCTTCTGACTTAAAATGATTTATTTCCGAAGCATCTGAAGGTTATTTTAAGAATTGTGTTCTCTTCAACGGAGCTAAATTTCCAAGTCTGCTTAAACTGCTTCCTGGAGAAGCAACTGAATGTTTTGCTACCTCTTCTGTCTCTCTTTTTTTTTTTTTAATTTTGTTATTTTTTTTTCCCCAGAACAGACAAGAACAGTTGAGAAAATTGAGTATTGAGTTAGAAACTGGCCTCATGTCCCTGTTCCACCACTGCCTGCTTAGAAATGACGAGCTGGAGCATGGCGTGGTGCAGGAGGGTCACACAGTGGGGTTCAGGCTGAATTTAGGTTTGGCTGCTCTGGTGTTAGATGGAGAGGCTGCTTGTAGAACACCTGCAGTTTAGCATTTGTGATTAAGGCAGTCCTTGGGTTTTTTCTAAGCTTCATTGTAGCTCAATATAGAAAACATAGAATGTATTTGGCTCCTTGGCAGATGGGTGTCAAGGGAAACTTTCAGTTTTCCTTGTGTTTTGGCTTTTTTAATGTACTACAGAATTCCCAAGTTTTCTCAATGTGTGGATGTCAAAGGAAAGGACTTCTATATTGTGGTTTTTCTTAACACTGAGTGTTGGGATTGGAGTTACCACAGCCTGAGTCAAGCTGATGATGCAAAGAGAGCTTTCCCTCAAATGCTGTAACAACCTCTTAGTTTAAAAAAGGTGGAGTAAGGTCTTATCCCTTCTCAGCCCTAAGGATCTTGACTCTTCCATGTGCGTACACACACCTGGGAGGAAAAGAGGGGAGATAGATACTTCATGTCTGTTACCTCTTCAGGGAGCTGGGGGTTGGAAAAAAAACTCTGTCAACTTTCCACTGAAACCCCTTTTTTGAGTTGAGTCAGTGCTGCTGGAGAGGCTGCTGTCTCCTTGGTGTCATGCACCAGCAAGAAACTAGAAAGAAAACCATCGAGAAGTGAGGATTTCCTCAGAGCAATACCAGTGCAGGATTTTTTTTTTAGGTTTTTTAGGTTTTTTTGGCATACTTCTGCTCTGGAAGGGTTTTGTTTGGTTGGTTTTTTAAATAGACAATTCTAGAAATTCCGAGGCATCTGCTGCAGTTCAGCCAATCAGAATTAGAATGTATTATATAAAGAAAATGAGCATATTTTTTTTGTATTTAATATCTGGCAGTAGAAAACACTTTTACCCGATAGTTCCTAGGCTTGTAATAAAAGCTTGGAGATCATGATTTGCCTGACAGCTGTATGAACACATTGTTTAATTATACAACACTTGAAAATAACAACATTAAAGATAGGTATGCAGCGTTTGGGATTTAGTATCCCTCTGCTGTTTATATTTGCAGCTTTTAATTTGTTTATTTTTTATAGATATTTTTTTTTTTTGCTTCCAAAAGCCGTGGGACCAGAAGCTTGAGGTGTGTTTACACTCCTGAAGTGAGGGCAGGTGGAAATGCTCACACAAAAAAGGTGCCGTTTTGTCCAAACCCGGTTTGGATGGAGCGAATGTGTTTCTAAAAATTGTGCATTTCCTTGTGGGGGGGGGGGAGAAAAGGAGGAAGGACCCCCCCCCCTCCTCTTCTCCCGCCAAATTAAAACCCAGAGCGATGAACCCTGAACAAACCCCGTGTTAAAAACCAGACTGTTACGTGTCACGAGCGCTTTTGAGACAAAACCTCCCAGCTTTGGGGTGACACCAGGCTGGGCCACCAGCCCTTTCAGTTATAAAAAACCCCTTAAATCCTGTGGTTTGTGGTGGTTTTCAGCGCGTTAGAGAGCGTGGCAGTGAGTGGGGTGGTAACTTCAGGAGGTCCTCTACCTCGAGGTGGGATGGGGCTCAGCCCCTGCTGCCCACGTTGGCACCCTTGAGATGGTGTCGGATGCGTTTCTGTCGGCACAAATAACTCTTTTTTTTTTTCCCAAGTCAGGGATTCTTGGTGAAATGACACAAACAGCAAATAAAAGCCCCACCTCGTGCTGTTGCTTGAAGGGAGCAAAGAGGTTTCCAAGGGGCCGGGTGGCCCCCCCTCCCCGTCCGCAAGGACCGAGTTGTTTCTTTTACCGCTTACTATGCAATGTCGAGCTTGGAACTTGGGCTTTGACTTGAGGATAGAGAGGAGCCATGTCCCGCTTCAGTGGTTAGGGACTGAGCACCCCCCCAAAAACCTCCCCT